ATTATTCTGTTGTTTAAAGGATGATTTGTCTGTGCCTATTGATTTTCAACCAAAGTAATCCCGTCGTAATCGCATAATTCCCTACATGAACGACTGTTCCCTACAATGCCTTACTGTATGAATGTCGATACCGCTGGTACACGTGGGCTGTTGCATGCGATAACATTCATACATTGTCACAACCGCATGACCACTTGAACACCATAACTGCGGTGCATAGAGTACCCGGGTATTGTCGCCCTTTTCCAGGTACATACACTCATATCGCCGGGAAAACGTACGAAACATACAAAATGGAATTAGTTCGAATGTTATCTCAGAATTGTGATAAGATCAGATTTTTTTCCTTTAAAAAAAAAGCATGTAACTTTTTTTGTCAGCTTTTTTTTTTTGGCGTATAGCTAAGCTAAGGTATGCACATCACACTATATATATCTATATATAATATAATATAATGTGCCATTTTAATAAAATAATGATTTGTCTAGAATAAGAAAAAAAATTGTATTTATCAATTGAATTTAATTAAGGAAAAAATCATAAATGATGAGTCATTTTTTTAAATATCTAAGATAATTTTAATATTTAGATTTTATATGTCAAATGATAACGTGGAGCGTAAAATAAAAATTACAGAATTTTTATAATGAATGAATATAAATATGAATTTTTAATTATGCGAGTTCGAATTGAATCCCAATTTTAAAAAGCAATTGAATTTCCCATTTATCTTGGAAATTCAAGGAATTATATTTTCCACGTTAAATGATAGTTAATTCTTCAAAAGAGTTTGAATGAAAAAAAATCAATTTGAATTTTTGAAAATTAATAAATATCAGAATATTCAAGCGTAATGTTCCAATAGTGTATATTACTGGAGTAAAAAAAATTCTAATTGAATAATTTCCAGGGAATCATCCAATTTAACAACTGAAAAATTGGGATGAATCCTGTAATGACAGTCATCCGGTTGATTTATCCTTACGTAAAAACGGGCATTATATCATACCAGAGTCATGCATAAACTCAAAGATAACATCTTCAATGAATCAAGATAGAGGATTAAATAAATACCCCGTGTTAAGTGGGTAATGAGAGAAGTTATTAATGAAAACGCGTTAAAGTTATCTTGGAAAAAAACCTGCGGTGAGCGATTCTCGACGACTCATGTCCTTCCTGGCGAATGAATCATTACTCTGATGGGAGAAAATTCACGGGGAAGCAAAAAAGTCAGGAAAAAGTATTATGGTTAAGATAAATAGCGCTCAGACGTGTTTATACTTGCGGTTTTTGTTTAAAAAATATTTACGCATCGATACACTCGTCCCACAATAATTTCAGCACGTAGTGCTATCATGGACACGATTCCGGTGGATTCTACCTTCATCTCAAGGTTTCTCTGGATCACCACAATGAAAAGAATGAATTCTGATCCAATGGTACGGCATTATTAATAATTATTAATTAATTCTGGTGATCGGCGATTCAAAACTGACAGAAATTTTCAGGTGTAATTTCTCGAAAACTTCAAAATTATCAGATTTTCCCCGATTATTCGAAATTAGGAAAATACCTGATTAATTTGGAAGGTCGAGGGGTAGATTTTTGTTAAGTACGATTTTTCTATCAAGTTTTCATTCGATTTTTTTATTTACATCTCTATTTATATTTTATAAGCATCTTAAAAACTAGTACTAAAAAAATTCTGTGAAAATATATTCAGCACTTGTCCAAGAAAAATATATAGGTTCATTCAGGACTCTCAAGATCGTTAAGTATTCGATGAATTTTATTTCTTGTGTAACCCTTTATTAATTAAATATGTCTCTTCTCACATTTGGGATTTTTAGAAATTTTTTTTCTATTAATGTACTTAAAAGATCTTTGTTTTCCCTTTTGCTGAATGCTAATTAAGACAAGCACAGCGATAATTGCATGAGTTTCATATGACCATTCTGATCCGATCGCCAAAATCGTTATAAGAAAAATAATCGTCTTAATTTCTATCGACGAATCGTTAAATACCAGAAATCGTTATTGTTTTTCGTTCATATCGCAGAGGTTTTCCTTAGAATTCCATTAATTAATTCTCTAATAAGGAAACCTGCACAATTGGATAGATTAAAACCCGTTTGATCGTGTAAGGAACAAGAATTTTACACAGACGATGTTAGTTTAGCTAGTTGTTGAACAACCATGCGTCTCCTAGGAGTATTTGCGGTGTGCTGTGCAGGAATTGCGAAGGGTATTGTAAATTATCGGTGCAGAAAATTATGAACGTTGACGTCGGCGTGATTGGACAGAATCACTGTTACTTTAATATCAAGAAAATCAATGTGATTGTTGAATTTCTATGAACAATTCTGATTTTTGTTGACAGGAGCTGATGTACCTACCGTTGTGGGAGGCAAAGCAGCTCCAGATCATAAATATCCATATCAAGTGTCTGTCCGAGCTGGGAATCCCCTTCAGCACTTGTGCAGTGGCTCAATTATTCATGAAAAGTGGGTACTAACTGCTGCTCACTGTGTTGACAAGTGAGTAAATCTGCATATGGAAAAATTCTCATTATTCTACACAATTTTCTTCATATATATGCCAATACAAATAATGGATAATATGGAAAACCTCAAAATGGCGTTCTCCAATAATTCTAAAATGAAAATACCGTTCACCTGAAACCCCCAGGCGACAGCCTTTACTAGAAATCCAATTTTTCGTATTTTTCTTGCAATAAAATGCTGTAAAAATAAAAATGACAATATAGAGCAATCACTGAAATCTTATTA